AATATTCTAATAATATCTTCTAGAAAATTTAGGTTCCATTGCCAAATGTTAATCACTGCATTGGATAAATATGAGTTTCGATACTACAGCTAGAACACTCTTTGTGAGAAATATAACTGCCAATTATAACTGCAGCATCGAAAAATTGAGAGAAATTGTTTAAAAGAGCTGGATAGATTGGGCGCGTTATACAAATATGTTAGATGTGAGGATTATATATTCATTTGTTTCTTGCGGCTAATTTTTTCTGTGTACCACAGCCAAACTTTATAACAAGTATGATTGGCCTTAACATGGATAGGCGCCACAGAAAAACATTCTTTCTAAATTTCACAAACAGTTCAGATATAAATTCTGTCTCTGTCACTTAGATTGATTAAATGCGAAACATATGCGATATCACAGTATTTGATAATCATTTATGTACCTCAGTTAAGCGCACCCAGAAAATTTTTGCTGTAGTTGCAAAACCACTTTTTTGAGTGTATATATCTATAAAATAAACGCCATTTGTTTGCTGCGACTATTTTGGAAATGAATTTTTTGTATTTATATATCAGAGTTTTTATATTCCAATTTCTCTTGTCAGTTTTTTTTTAATATTTTTCTCTTTTAAGGATTTTTTTAAACATTTCACGTGGGTTAATGTATCGTTATATGAATTAGTGTAGATTTTCTAGCATTTATTGAATTCTTATCGACGTAGTTATTAATAAAGTCACCGCCTATCTGCGTTGACTCATTACTGATTCGTTAGCAACAGGCGAGAAATTGAATGCCACCAAAGTTGGGAACTCGTGTTATGAATTAATTATCCGTGCGAGAGACTCTCACTTGAGCGAATACACTTTGGCACATTGGTATTATATGCGTCTCCGGCGATGATGAATTATTAATGAGACGCATCGTTTTTTCCGTTGCAGAAGATGCGAGCAGCGTCGCTGATTCTCTGCTTGGGAATTCTACTTACGACGATACAAAATGGTAAGTCTCTCCGCGACTTTCCTAATAAAAATACAATTATACCATAAGAGAAAGTTGTAGAATTTAATATTTATATCTTTTAATTATATACAGGGGACTCGATTGTGCACAATTTCTCAACCATCGATTTTTTATTCTAATTTCTCTCTTGTCAGCTCTTTTCAGCAAATAATTAAACGTCACTTTCTTCTCGCCCTTTCCCCAAGTCTTTACGTATCTTCATAATTTAAAAAAAAATTTGCAAATTCTTTTAAAGTATCAACTACTTGAAATTACGTGAAAAATAAGATTCTGTTATTGTATTTTTATTGTATTTTTGAATTTAATAAGGAACTTAGGTCTTCAGTTACTTATAATTTAGAAGTTATTAATTTGATATTTATCTACAGTTTCTAATAATACCGGAACACTTCGTATAGTTATATATGAATTATAGTAAATTACATTACGCGTCGAATACAAACGTACATAACCAGACTCTGCGTGTGTCATGAGTCTTCATAGAAATGGCATCTTAAAAAAAGATTCTTAACAATAGCTCGAGATAAATTTCGAAGAACGTTTATGCGTCTCTCTAAGGTAAACCACAGCTTGCGAAACAAATTATATAATTATACAAATTATCCGGTGTATCCTAGAATTTTCACCAGCAAAACTCGTAAACAATAATGGTTTCCGCGAGAGTGACCGGTACTGTAACTGATAGTGAAAGAATTGGAGTGGAATTCGCGAAGGAAAACGAAAAGAGGTTCGGATCGCTCGTAAAGTGCTAATTTTTCAAACCGTCTCGAAAACGAGCAATAAATTGCGGGACTCGCATTTTGCAGCATTCACTTTTAATAATAACACTTTTCACATCAATGAAGGTATAGAACCTCGTCATTTTCTCATATTCGTCGGCAAATCCGGAAAAACGCGCGATCACGAGCGAGCGTGGATAAGCCTCTTACTCGGCATTATCTATATGCGATATTATGTACCTTAATGCTTCTATATGCCGTTTGTATAACGACGATATACATATAGCGTGGGACTATCATGAGTACGCTCGGTCGGCGTTGTGCGGTGAAAGAGAATCTAAAACATTCCGGTATCGGTGATCTTTGCGAGGTGGGCGGAGATGATGGAATTTACGGACTCCGTAAACTACATTATATTCAGAATCCCCGATTAATTTAAATGACATATTTTGCCTAATTTATTTATGGATTTTCTGTTATACATCCGACATATTGTTTATAATCATTATTTAATTTTACTATCCTATTTTGATCAATTTTTACGTTTCAAACGCGATAATTTTATAAATATAAATGAATAGAATAATATAATTTTTAACATTTATCAATTTTATGTATTATTGTTAATTTTTTATTTTAAATATATAATTATTTTCTCATAATAAATGAATAATAAAAATAGTAGGAAATAATATAATATATTAAAAGCTGAAGTGTGTTTATAATTAGAAAAATTAAATCTACAGTTAATATATAATTATAATATTAATTATAATTAACGTTTGTATGACAGGATTTAATCTTTTCTCCGTAATTTTGAGAATTATACGTCTATATGCGCGGGCGTATCTCCGATTAAACTCGCTGAAATCGTACTATTTTCAATCGATCGATCGGGGATATTTTCGTCGACCTCGCCGAGGTTCTGGTCAGGGTCATCAGCAGCAGGCCTTAACTAGCAGGCATTGCTCGTATTGTTTGTGATATTCGGCCTCGTTTCATGCACGATCGGTGAAAGCACAGCGGATAATTCATCGGCGACTCGAAAGTACGAGTAGCCAAACACACGCGAACTCGGCGAGCCGTCAACAAAGTCAGCCTTCGAAAACGATTATGCGCGTGCGAAGCAGGGCAACGAGATGCATACTTCTCCCTCTCTCTCTTTCTTTCTCTATATGTATGCAGATATATGCATTCGGTTAATTAAACGCTTGGATGATCGCGGGAAACAATATATCCATCGCGTAATACTATCTTTCGCTTTCGCAATGCTATTTTTGATCAGATTACGTGGCGTTATAGTTGGTCGTAACATTTCACTGAAGAAAGTTGGATTAACTCATTGTCAGATCACATCTTCTGTATTGTAATGTAATCTAATTTTCTATGTATGTAATCATATGATATTATAAGAGTTTTCTATTTTCATCTTACAAAATTACAATAAATTGAACATTATCATAGAAGATAACTTTGAGAAAATTAAAAGTTTTAAAAAGCAATCTACAATAACACAAATAAACAGAATTAAATATATTTTATTATAATTTTCAGTAGAAAACAATGTGTTAGATATTCATTAATGCGAAGATGTTGAAATGTCAAAAGCGATAAAAATTTAACTCGAAATTTAAACAAAATTGTTACGACAAATTATCTACAAATTATACATCCATATAATTGCTATATTTTTCCGAACAAAATTGCACTTAAAAAAAAAAAATGTAACCGGTGTCAGAAATGTAATTTTTTAGAGTCGGTTAACAGTACCTTGCCGCGTGAGTTGAAAAGTCTATACATTTCTTCTTGTACACGTAAACGAAAGTTTAATCGCGTTTCAATTTCTCCCTGTTTTCTCTCGCAGCCGTTAAAGCGTTCTCCCCGCGTTTAACACGTGAGTGTGTCATGCGTGCGCAAAGTATGCGTACCATAGGTATATGCGAAACGCGTATTGAATGCACGTCGCGCGTATTCATTTAATACACACACGCGTGTGCATTCAGCGGCTGCGAAAATGCACGACACGCGACGCGAGCTAATATTGAAAGATGAAATTGAAGATAACGACCGCCGATTCTTCGCGACTTGGCGCGAGCTGAATGCATCGGAATACATTTATATGATTGCTGTCTCTTCATTCAATAGACCTCTGTTGAAAGTAGGGAAGTATTTATTATGCGGGAGTAACAAACGGAAACGGTCTTATTTCTTTTCTTTTCAGAAAAAAACGAAGAACATAAGAAAATTTAAATTAAAGGCTAAAATTTTTAAATATTTATTTGTATTAAAATGAATCTCATTTTTAATAAAATATAAAAAATCGGTCTTTACATTTTATATTGCATCTAAATATTTGTAATAATTAAGTCTTGCAAAATAAGAGCACACACACACACGCATACATCAACATCATTACTAAATATATATTAAAAGAATTTAATAATTATGTTTCTTAAATATATTTACCAAAATAATTTAAAATCATATAAAATATTTAAAAATTATATTAAAAGAAAGGTTACATTTTCTTCTTGATTATTGTTGTTCTTTCAGGAATTGCCGAACGCAAAATCGTTTGTTATTACACAAATTGGTCGGTGTATCGACCCGGCACAGCGAAATTTTCTCCTCAAAACATAAATCCGTACCTTTGCACTCACCTAATTTACGCTTTCGGAGGTTTCACGAAGGATAATGCGTTGAAACCGTTCGACAAGTATCAGGATATCGAGAAAGGTAACATAAAAATATATATGATATTTTATTTATATTACTTGTATACTGAACGATTAGCATCAACTTATCGACGAGGATATTTATTTCGACGATATTTATAGCAAAAAAAATTAGAAGCTTTCAATTATTAGCCATCAATTGTCAATTAAAATTGCCAATAGATTTAGATTCGTAATTTTATTATAAGCGATGAGAGTTACAACTCAATTGTGTGTACTCTAAGAAAATTGAAGAGTAAATGTCAAATACCAATCGAGTGTTAAAAAATATTATTCTCAGTTATTACAAAAGAAATTCTTATATTTTAAAAAAGTGCTATTTTTCAGTGTCTATCTGTATAATATCTCAATTTGTTTATCAATGCATTATATTGATAAATATAGAGTCCATCATGTTCGATGACTTAGCTGATATTTAACTTTCACTGTTCGATTAATATTCGCTCGCTCGACAGGCGGATACGCGAAGTTTACGGGTCTGAAGACTTACAATAAGAATCTGAAGACGTTGCTGGCGATCGGCGGCTGGAACGAGGGCTCCAGCAGATTTTCACCAATGGTGGCCGATCCCGCGAGACGGCGAGAGTTTGTCAAGAATGCCGTCAAGTTCCTCAGGCAAAATCATTTCGACGGCCTCGATCTCGACTGGGAATATCCGGCTTTTCGAGACGGCGGAAAACCACGAGATAAGGATAATTACGCCAATCTGGTGCAGGTAGATGTCCCAACAGTTTCTTATCATTTCTTATCGAGGAAAGAATATGAAATCTTTTGCAGAAATCTTAGTAAATAAAAATATAAAGAAAAAGAGAACGTCAAAGAGATTTATAGATAGAAAAATATGGATAAATATATCATAGGATGATGGAAAATTAATTTCAACTTTCTTTCAATCTTCAGAAGCGAATTGTAAAAAATCGATTAAAAATAATCAATTGCGTAAATTGGCAGGAACTTTACGAGGAATTCGAGCGAGAATCCTCGAAGACCGGAAGACCGAAGCTGTTGTTATCGATGGCGGTACCCGCTGGTATCGAATACATTGACAAGGGTTACGATGTACCTAGGCTAAATGAGTACTTGGACTTCATCAATCTGCTCTCTTACGATTACCATTCGGCGTATGAGCCCGCTGTCAATCATCACTCGCCGTTGTATCCTCTGGAAGAGGACAATGAATACAATTACGACGCCGAGTTGACAATTGTAAGAGAATTTCCTTGTCAGAATCTTATAATGTTATTGCTCGGACAAGTCAATTAAAAGTAATTGATTGATTGCTTAGGATTACACGATCAGTCATCTCCTGGAAAAGGGTGCATCCGCGGATAAGATCATTCTTGGAATACCAACGTACGGTCGCTCGTATACGTTGTTTAATGAGGAGGCGACCGATCTTGGATCGCCAGCGGATGGTCCGGGTGTCGAAGGAGACGCTACTCGAGAGAAGGGCTACCTTGCCTATTATGAGGTGATATGATGTTAAATTTATCGAAGGTTTTTTTGATGCTTTGTATCGCGCATCAATTAAAATAGTAACATAATTTATTTTTAGAGGCATATAATTTTTATACATACATATATTATTAGTATATATTTTATTTATAAGATTACATTCAAGAAAAATATATTAAATATTGAGATTATTATAGATTTGCGAGAATATAGCGGAATCCGACAAATGGGTGGTCGTTCAGCCGAATCCGAAAGCCATGGGACCGTACGCGTTTAATGGAAATCAGTGGGTTGGATATGATGATGAAGATATAGTCAGACTGAAAGCTCGATACGTGAACGAGAAGAAATTGGGAGGCATCATGTTCTGGTCGATAGACAATGACGATTTCCGTGGCAAGTGCCATGATCGACCTTATCCATTGATCGAAGCTGCTAAAGAAACTTTACTTACAAATAATAGGTAAAAATTGTTACTCAAGATAAACACATCAACTTACAATTGTCGGGAATAATATTCTCTAATTCCATTTATCGCATTAATATAATTAATTCATTTTTACAGTATTATTATTTATATTTATATAATTTTTATTATAATTTTAGTATCTTAAGAAATTAAATTAATAGACAATACAAAAGTTTTCGAACATAAAATATAAACTTTGTAAAAATATAATTTAAGATAATTTATTTCTGGAACATTTTTAGTAGATATTTTTTATTTTTGCTCTGATTTTACTCTCTAATTTTTTTATTAAATTAGAGAAAAATAAGAATCGTTATTATTACGTAGGAATACAATTGAGAATACAAAGTCAGTGGACAGTCGAAAAAAGATTCGCACTCAAGGTATTCAGAGCAATGCTCGTAAATTACGGACAAATAGTCAAAGAAGTAGCACCACATCGGCTCCGATCACCAGTAGACGTGTGTCTTCTTCAAGGCCAAAGTACCGTAACATTTCAAAATCGAAGACGAGTGACGGAGATGAAGAAGATCGGGAGGTATCAAGGAGATCGTACGATCCGTCATCGGACGAGATCATAGAGAGTAGAAACACCGTCAGAGTTACGGAAAAGATCGAGAGACCGAAGAACCGGAACAGAAGCAAAACGCGAAATAGCTTCACCGATCATAGCTCTCGTAGAAAACAATCTAGACGCAAAGAACAGAGCAAAACTGACGAGAACGAGGGATCCTTGAGCAATAAGCTGACGACTCCTGAACCGCCGACCACTCCTGATCCAGGATCTGGTAAGTTTTCGTAAAAATGAAGCACAACGTATGTTCTTTTAACATGGATCGATTAGTTGAGAAAATACAAGTCTAGATATGAGAATAAAAATCTTATCTTTGTTACATAAAGTTAAAGAGCATTGTTTTATTTTTTATAGATTTTAAATGCGAGGACGAAGGCTTCTTCCCGCATCCTCGAGACTGCAAGAAATACTTCTGGTGTCTCGACAGTGGACCAAGTGGACTTGGCGTGGTTGCGCATCAGTTCACCTGCCCTTCAGGTAATTTTATTTTTCTATAAGTGATCATCTCGCAAATTTAAAGCTAAATATGCTTATCTCCAATCTTAAACTTAATTTCTCCTAATAAATAAATCAACAGAAAATATTTAATATACAAAAAATTGGTGCGCATATATAAGAGAGTAATATAAATATGAAAAATTTGTATATAAATAAGAAATGTAGATATAAACGAACGAATATATATATGTATAATAAAAATTTGAATTTTTTACTTGTCACATTTATTACTCATCTTATAATTCCTTGCTAAATCTATGCTATTAGAATAGCATAGATTTAGCGAAATCTTTGATTTGTTTGTTATAGTATTTCGTATCTTTTGAAATTTCGCAGGTTTGGTATTCAATAAGGCAGCGGATTCTTGTGATTACCCGCGCAATGTGATTTGTCCTAAAACGTCAAAGACATCGGTCGTCTCGACCACTAGATCGCCCATCACAGCTGCGACCAGTCGAACGACTTACATACACAGCACGACAACCGCAAAGATTGAACCGGAAGAGTACGATTCGGAAGAGGAAGATTATGAAGAGGACGCGATAGAGGAAAGCGAGGAAGAGGAAGTACCAGAAGAACCGAAGACCACCATGACTACGAAACCTCTCGTATATAAGACGCTCACTAGAAATCGTCCTAGCACGACCACTACTACAACGACGACGAAACCAAATGAACCGGAGAGAGCAAGTTATGGCGAAGACGAGGAGGATCCGAGGGTGATCAAAGAACTGATCGATCTCATCAAAAAAGCTGGCAAGTATAGGTTTACTAAACAAAGTAAAATATGGCGTATTTTTTAATAATTTTAAAATATTTTAACATTCCTTTATACAATATCTTTCTAATAATTTTTCTATTTCTATGAATTATTTTCTATAATATTAAATCTCTCTCTCCTCTTTCATTAATACTTTTTCTATATTATTTTATAATATTTATATTACTTTTAATATATTAATATTTTTTTTAATATCAACTTTTTTTAGATAAAATCTCTCTTTTATAATATATAGTTTTTCCAACTCATATAACAGGTGGAATCGAACATCTGGAGAAACAATTACTTTTTCAAGAGAAGAATTTCGACGTTAGATCGGACAGCGAAAGCGTCACTCCGGCTACGATTAGTCGTAGTCTGTACGAGCGCGTGTTGAGTCGTCAGGCAAACAAACTCGGTAACAGTCGACCCGTACCATCATCCTCGGAAACTAGTTACGTGAACGGACCAGGAAGAGCACAATTCGAAGGCTTGGATGATATTCCCGAAGTGAAGAGTCTCAGACGGTCGCAGAAACCTGAATATGTCACTATCGAGAGATCTAAGTCAGTCGCTTTATATCTTTATTCGTCAGCAAGCTAATACAGCTCATTTTTTTGTATTGTTAGAATTAGCTTTTGATTTAATATGTCTTTTTTCTAATTCTAATTCAAAAAAGATATAATCAATTAAATCAAGATTAAAATTAATATTGTTGAAGCTATGAGTCGACACAATATAAAAATGTTTAATTAATATATATTTTAATTTTTTACATTACACTGATATTAGATCATCTGTCACGACGGAATCGGAGAATGAAGAGATTGACGAGAACGAGGAAGATGACGACAGCACCGATGTAGCTTCCTCCGAGGAGGAAAGTATCAGCAATCCGTTAGAAGGGAGCCCGTCCACGCAACGAGTGACGCCAAATTATGTCAACATTCGTCGAACGCGACCCTCTACTACGACGTCTAAGTATGACGATAGCATGATCGATAAAATAATTGATTTTATTCCCGACTGTCTGTCATGTTATCTTGAAATTTTCAGAACCGAAAACGACGTGGATGAGAAGGAAGCGGAAGTCAAGGAGGAAAGACCGACTCGCAGACGACGACCCTACGTCTCGAAGTAAATATACATGCAATATTTTTACTGAAGTAATAGAAGCGCGTTTTATATTATATAAATCGTATAATAATATTCTTTAGACAACAAAATAATGAAGCAAGTTTTGATACATCGAAATCTTTCCGAAATAATGGCTCAGGTTTCAGGTAACTGATAAATTATGTATATTATCTTTTATATTATGTACAACAAAATATAAGTGCGCGCGGATGTATTTAATATCATGATATATACATCATATATATGTATTAATAATTTTACACAAAATATTTATCTCTTTATTATAATTTCAGGGACTCGGAGAAGGGAGATGATTTGGCAGGCGTGAATCTCTCAACGGAGAAAAACGACGCTTTGTCAACGATCAATTCTAGGTTCTTGTACACTACATTTCTTTTTATCATAACACTTTTCGTATCACTATACGGTTCACATTATTTCTGAAATCTTTTAGATACACCAACATACAAAGATTTAGAGGCATTGCTTCGAAAAGTCCGGAAAATTTATCCAGCGTATCTTCATTGGAGATAACCACTTTGCCAGCAAAGCTGGAAGAAAACCCAGAAGTACAATCTAGTACAACAGATAGTACAACCACTTTCTCGTCAACAACACCCACGACGACCACTTCGACCTCTACCGAAGTCATCACCGTGATCAGTGTCGAACCGCCGGAAAATCCATCTAGCGTCAGCCCTAAAGTAGACAACAGTGGTTCCACCACGGATTCAATGAAACTGGTAGAAGATTCGGCGACGGAAATCTTGTTCACGACATTGCCGGCGACTACTTCGTCAACGACGACGACAAAGACGACGACAGCATCTGCAAGTAGGTCAACGATCGCCACGGTTTCGCAGCCGCGACCATTTGGCTTTACTAGACGAAGATTTAGCTCATCAGAAGCAACGACGACGACAACAACGAGTGGCCCGTCGAGTAGATCCAAGGTGAGTATAACATCGCGCAATTCCACGCGTCCGTCCAGTCCGTTTCTGGGGCGAGTTCGATCAAGGACGAGACCGGCTAACCGAGTTGCCGAGGACGAATCGGTGGAGCAGGTGGACGCTCCACAAGTGGAGACTTCCACGTTTAGGAACAAAGATCCGAGTAAATCGCGCAGTAGAGGATCCAGCAGATTTACCTCGCCGACGTCGAGATCGAGGACAAAAGATGTTTTCACGAACTCCGTTCCAAGTCCCAGGTACAGAGAAAGAGGCAGAACGACGATTTTGACGACCGTCAGTACAACTACTATCGACAGCGATAGCAGGAGAAAATTTCGAAGACCCAACAGAGTCAGCAGCACGGAATCTATTAAAGCCAATGAATTGGACGACAGTCCAATAGTCAGGATAACTCAGGATAGTCGCAAAAGGAACTCTTCGCTTCGTTCGCGATCTGAGAGCAGCGACGAAGAGAGTGATAATGTAACAAACATCAAAGTCTCTAAAAGGCCAACCGTCAACCGCGAGTTGTACAACAGGACAAAGCAGACGAAGAAGAGAAACAATGTGCAAGAACCATTGCAAAAAGTAAATATTGAGTCATATCGGAAGCAGATCGCGTCAAATGTTCTAGAATCAAGTACTATCGCGGAGAGCGACAAAATTGACAAAAACGATTTGATAAATATCGTTGATCAAGAAGAAGCTACTATAGTTGATTCCGTTGTTGAATCCAACACCATCGAGCCAACGTACGTCGATCAGGTAAAACCGGTTGCATTAATCGACATCACGACTGCCTCCAGCAACAATAAGGTCGATTATACGAGTGATCGATCTGATGATGCTGTCGCCACAACGACCGCCCATATCGAAACTCACGAGTTTAATCCTAACTTGGTGATAATCGTCACCGAACACGCAGAAAGTACATCGGAAGCGCCGAGGAGACGCAAAGTTATTCTGAAAAGGAGACCAATATCATCGAACAATACTGTTGAAGCAGAAGAAGAAAAAAGACCTGAAACATTTCGCAGACGAAAAGTGATAAAGCGAAAACGTCCGCTTCAGGATACCTCATCGCCGAAATCAACCGAAGTTTTTCTCGAGGAAGAAGCGTTAGAAGATTCGAGTCTTCTTCCAGAATCGACGACTCCAATAGGAGATAGCGAGGATGATGAAAAATCGACGATCGCTACTGATCAGACAGAAGTTATTTCGTTGAATAAGGATGTTGAAGAATTGCCGGTTGCTACAGGATTCACGAAAGAAATGCAAGACTCGACTCTAGCTATCACAGAAGCCACTTTATCCACCGATTACAATCTTGACGGTTTCACGAAGATTATTTTGGAGACTCCCGCGGCGGAAACTACGACAATCTTGAACAAAGAAGCTTCCGATTTCTTCAGTAGCGCTGCTATATCAACGATTAATACATATGCCGATGAAGAATATCAATCGACGAGTGAAATAAATGTTGAAGCTGCTACGATAGAATCAACGTTGGCGACAGCTACGATCGATAATACTGAAAGCAGCGCACTTTTAGAAGAAACATTGGTACCTGAAGATCCTGAGAACTTGTCTACGCAAATTATCACTGCACCGTCCACATCGGAACCAGATTCCACTCGCGCGCAAATGGCTACAGAACTATTCACGGAATCGGATTCGTCTTCGGCTTCAAGCCCGAGCTTCGAGTCGAGATACGCGCGTCTGAAATTTATTCGCAAGAATCATGTGTCTTCGGGAACGAATGCGACTAACCGATATCCTCCCGTATTATCGTCAACGGAAAACAGTAACCTCGAGGTTCTCTCGAGACGCAGAAATAATTTATTCATTCGACATCATCCAATTTCTTCTACCACTACTAACATACCACGCGATGATCTTAAATATCAGGAGGAAAAGCAGGATATAAATAACAGATCTCGCGACTTGATTAGACAGGAGGTTGCAGAAGATACGACCCTGAAGAATAAGCCGGTTTCTATGGATGCTCTTTCGGATAATTTTGCAGAATTCTGGAAAAGTTATACTACAGCTTCGTCGAGAAGCCAGATAAACAATGCTTCTACTCGTATCGAGGATATCGATGATCGTAAAGTCGCAGAAACAGAAGACATTACGTATCAATCGACTACGATTACCACAAGCAAGTCAGAGATTCGACCACGATATAAGATTCCCGTAATTCTGAAGAGACCCTTTGATCCCGAAGAGGCTTTATCGCCCAAACGATATCATTCTTTAGATTCCGCGCCCGAAGAATCCGAAGAGACGCCGGAAACCAAAGAAACTAGGCTGAGACAATCCAGTTTCCGGCAACCGCGTACGCGTTACAAGCTTCAAAACCGCGATAACATCAAAACCGATGAGGAACCAACATCCTTGAGTCCGGAACCCACGAGTACCTGGCAGTACTTTAGAACGCGCTTGTACTCGAAACGTCCGTCGTCGACCAGTACGGAAGCGACGGTCACGGAAACTCTGATCCCAGCAAGAAAATTCGATTACGTCGCCGATGCTTTTCATCGAAAACAGCAATTGCTTAAGACGACGACGCCGAGGAGCAACGATCCTTTCGACTCGCAGAATCTGGTCGATCCGGATTACACGAGCGTAACGACGGCCAAGCCGTCGGTGACTCGATTGGTGACTTCCGTGACGGAATCTGGCACCACGGAACGGCAAAAGATCCTTATCAAGACTAAATATTCGTCGCTTACGTCGAACACGAAGATATCTGCGGACCAGTTCTCTTCGACGACCCCCTCATTGGTCTCGGTGACGGGACTTGATGACGAATCTCTTAACGAGATACGTCAGGGCGTCGAACGGTCCACTCTGCCAATCGAGGGCGAGTTCAGTTATCATTATGATAATCGATTCACCACGGAGTCCCAAGAGCCTTCGACCATCGAAATCGAGTCGGTGTTCAGTAATTTGGTCGCTGACAAGAGCTCCGCAAAATAATAAGAGTGTCATTATCAATTATCGTTGCAACCGGTGTCGACAATGTATATAGAAGCAGCCATTAAATTAATTAAGAGAAATCCGTCGCAATCGTTGGTTTATTTGACGAAAACGATAGAAATTCAATAGACTTTTGCACTAGAAATTAATGTATATAGCATTTTACAAACATTAATCATGTTTAAGATCGCTCTATGAGAGATGAACACATTAAATAAATGCCATTATGATCGGA